TACTACTACTACTACGGTTGTTGTCGTTGCTTGCTATTCCTCGTCCTCGTACTCTGCAATTGAGAGTGTCACTGCCGCCATTGTGAAGAAGAAGAAGAAGAAGAAGAAAACGACGGAGAGAGAGGTCTTTAGAAGGACCACTTTTTTCTTCTGCCACTTCTTTTTTCTTCAAATCCCGTTATTCAAAGTGTGTTCTACTACTATTCAGAAGCCATTGATATTTCATTCCATTGAATTTGAAGCCCTCTGTCTGCTTTCTACTTGAGCTGTCTACTTCGATTAGCATCACTCCCATCACCACAATTATCATTGTTGGAGCAAGTTTGACTTTTTTGTGAGTGTGTGACACTGAACAGCACAACTGCACTGAGCACACCTTGACCACCACTAATCTCTCCTCTCTAAAAATGGCGCCCACCTTTGTCAAGAAACGATCCTCCACCTCCTCCTCCTCTTTTTGGGACTTTTCCTCCTTCTCCATCACTCCCTCCAAATCAGCCATGCAAAAGCTGCCTTCCGTCTTCCTTCTCATTCTGCTCCTCTCTCCGCTGCCCTCCATTTCCGCCTCCAAATATTCTGGCTCCTCAATGGGCGCCCTCGCCAGTCCCGGAAGCTCGGGCGGCTCGGGCAGCGGTTTGAGCAGCAGCAGCGGCGGTGGGAGCGGAAACTCGCTGAGCGCCGCCCTCTCCGCTACGGGCGCAGTGGCCTCGGCGGCGGCCGCCTCTTCAGCTGCCTCAGCAGCCTCTGGCCCTTCAGTGGGCGCCACCAGCAACTTCCTCTACAACCTGATGGGCGCGGCGTCGCCCTCCTCCGCCAACCCCTACCCCATTCGGACGATGATCGGCAACATGGTGTGGCGCATTCGCCAGCACAAGACCCCCCTGATGGTCATTCCGCCGGTGCTGCGGCTGCTCTACCAGTTCCGCGGGCCCATTATGACCGGCTTCAACTCCGCTTTTAAGGGCATCGGCGGTGGAGGAGTGGGAGGACCTGGGGCGGCTGCAGCGGCGGCGGTCAAGGGCGCCGCGGACCTCGCCTCGGCGTCCAGCAACTTGGCCAGCTCGGCGGTTGGAGGAGGAGGGGCAGGAGCGGGGGCGGCTGCTTTTGGAGCAGCAGCGGGAGCGCCGCTCATGTTCCCCGGACCGGCCTCTTTTGGCGGCGGTGTTCCCGGCCTCTTTGGTCCCAGTGGGCTGGCTGCGGCGCCGGGCATGATGCCTGTCTTTAAGAAGTAGAGGAGGTGGAATGTGTTTTTTTGATTGTGTAGTTTTTTTATTCTCTCTTTCTCTAGTTCTCTTGTTCAGCTCACCAGCCTGTCTAATTTTGGTCATCTGTAAAGTTTTCTCTCCCTCTCTTTTCCCCTTTTCCCCTTTCTTTGTGTGTACACTTTGCCTCATCTCTTTCTCTTTATCTCGTTTTTAATCCTTTTACATCATATCATCTCATTCACTCATTCTTTTTGTATCTCATGATGACTTGACGCCGCCACTTGATCACTGCCTCAGCCACACATACACACACATTCACAATCACTCACATACCACCACATTTTGCATTTTTTAGTTTAGCATTTTACATTTTTTGACGTGTCAACCTTTCCCTCTCCTCTCCTTGCTCTGATCTGATCTGTTTTGCTGATCAGAAAGCAGCTCTCCTCTCCCATCTCCATTATAATCTCTGCAGCTCTTTAGATTTTATTATTATGTTAGCGCAAATATGAGTTATGGCTCTCCTTTTATAACTTTTTTTCAGTTGTAGCCCCCCCCTCCCTCCCCCCTATCAGCAACAGCTTTGAAATGATAATAAAAGAAGAGTGAACCCCTATTATGCTGTTGTACACTGATCACTGTTTCTTCTTTCAGGCCAATAACTTCTTCTTCTTCTTTTCTTTATCCTCTTTAACTTCATCGTTTTCATCCTCTTCCACTTTTAACCACCGAGCTCAATCGCCGATCGGTTTTTCTTTTTTTCAAAGCTCAGAGATTAATTTTTATTCAGACAAGAGCAAGAGCAGGCAGAGTTAATGGGCAATTTGACTTGCTTTCTTTCTTTCTTCTTTCTTCTTTCCTTTCTTTTTGTTCAAACTGTTCACCTGTCCCCTGGCTCTGATGATCACCGATTGTTTTCTTCTTCAGAGGGCTTAAACCTGCCTTGATGCTACTGCAACTGCAGATGTCGACGAGGGCCTCAATTGGTACAAGAAAGCCAGCGAAAAATAAAAGAGAGTTTGGAGAGTTCAAAGCTGGTACTCTCCTTCTTCTTCTCCCCTAAATCTTTTGTCAAACTTCTGCCGCTGCCGCTGCTGCTGTTGTGCTCGATTGACTTTAATAATTAGTGCAGCGGCAGTTTTAGCAGCAGCTGCTGCCAGTCATTTTCTCCTCTCTTCTCCTCTCCTCTCCTCTTCGCTGTTGCCAAATTATGATTGCAGTGCTCATCTGCCGCCGCCGCCGCTACTGGTGTTGTGCTAATTGCACAGGTAATTACTGAGAGATGCAAGAACAGAAGGAGAAGGAAAAGACGGTATTGCACTGCCGACGACTACTGACGACTCGAGTCAACAGAGGGCGAAAGTAAGTGTCGAGAGTGTTTGCCAGTGTGTAATCGTCGTCGTCGTCGTCGTCGGTGTCTCGCGGAGATTTATTTGCCTGTTTGACTGCAGCCAAGAAGAAGGAGAAGAAGAAGTGTAGCGTTCAGTGTTTAGTGTTTAGTGTTCAGTTAGTTCAGTTCAGTTTACGACCAAGAGTTTTGCTGCTGCTGTAAGAGCTACAGTTGGCTATAAATAGTAGGCGAAAATGCTGAAGATGTGTGCCTTGAAGTGCTGCTGCTGCAGTTGCCATTTCTTCTGAATTGAGATTGGTGATTTGCTGTGTGTGCCGCTGCGAAACTGTTCTGCCGCCGCCGACGCTCACTTTGTCTTTCAACCTAGCTAGCTAATTTGATATCATCTGAAAAATATTAGCAAAGCAAAAGGGAGATATGTTAGGGCTCGCGCTTGGCTGCAGCTGCTGCTGCTGAATTAAAAACGAGAGGAACAAATGTAAAAGTCAAAGGGGAGGTTTTTGAATGGGTTACCATTTTGAACAACTTGACAGGGTTCTGACAGAAAAATTTCAAAATGCGGTTTCAAACAGTTCTACTCTGTCTATCTCTTTCTTTTGTTGCTATCGGCATTCGCTATCTGTGGTTGTAGAGAGCTTTGGTAGTGCCTGTTTGAATGTTCTGTCTTTCTTTTTCTTCTTTCACTTCTTCTTCTTTACTTTCTATACTTTGCACTGTTCACAGAATTTTGCGCAAAGTAAAGAGAATCAGCTAATGGTAGCAGTCTTTCTTCTTCTTTCTTCTTCATTTTCTTCATCTTCCTCCTCGTCAAATGACATGGCTCGTTCAGGTTTCCACTCTATCGTCTCTATCGCCGATCTCATCTCTTTCCTTCCCCTCTTCTTTCCTTTCCTTTCCTTTCCCTCATTTTCCACTGCTCCTAAGCTAAGCTTAATGTTTTTGTGGCATTGCACCTAAGCAGCAGCACTAGCACTTTCAGTTCTCACTCATCTGTGAGCTCTCGAGTTCTTCTTCTTCGCCAGCGAAAGCTATTTTGCTTGAAAACGGCAGCAGGAGCAAGAAAAAGAATTTCCCTCACTCACTCACTTTCTCTCTCTTTCTTTCTCCCCAACAGCTCTAAATTTGTGCCCAAATGCTCTCGGATGTTGGTGTTGGTGCTTGTGCTGCTGGTGGCCGGAAAAAAAGTGGGCGTGCCTATCTCTGCTGCTGAAGACATTGCTCGATCTTCTCCTGCCGCCATCATTACCATTACCAGAAGACGAGTCGGTGGATTGCACTCTGCAGAGAGAGAGAACGTGAGCGAGCCAAAATGGGCGCCTTATTCTCGTCGTTTTCGTCGTCGTCGTTGACGTCGTCGTCGAAGCGTCAAAGATGGTGAGCAGAAGCAGCAGCAGGGGCAGCAGAATATTCTGCGAGAAAAAGAGGGGGAAAAGCAGAGAAAAGAGGATCTCCCTCGATGCTTTTGGTGATGGCGCCCAATGTCGTACACAAACACACACTGAAAGAGAGGGATTCTCACCGAATTAGCATTGAGCAGCAGCAGAACTGAATGAACTGAGCCCTCTCTTTCTTTTGCCTCTATTTGCGTACGTACAAATTCTCGCTGTTGGTGTTTGCATTGCTAACCTCCTTTTTTTCTGCTGTAGGCTTTTTTCGCCACCACTACCATCAACTTCCTCTCCCTTATTCTCTACAGCTAGCAGAACTGCATGGCAATCTTTTAGCCGAGTTCTTCAGCAGGAGCAGCATTTTTCTGGTGATCAGAAACTTTGCTGTGTGGCGAAGTCTCTTCTTCCTCTTCTTCCTCTTCTCACTTTTGCTCTCTCTAGAGCACTGCAGACCACCACCACCACTCTAGAGCGCGCACCAGTTTGTTTTTTGATCAGACTTTTTGATTTTCTGCTGATCCACTGCGATCATCATCATCATGGTAATGATATTCTCGCCATTGTTTTCCGAAGATTCACTGCTCTCTACTAACCTCACGTCTCCCCCTTTCTCTTCTTTTGTTTATTTACACTTCGTCCTGGACGACTGTCTGATGATTGATGATTGAACGCCCAAATCTGCACCACTTTCGCCACTACCAACTTCACTGCCTGCTTGCACTGCTGGTGAATCTCAATTATTGGATTCGGCTGCTGCTGCTGCCCCTGCATCTGTTTTCCATTTATCGTCTACTGTACAACAACTAACTGTACAACAACTAACTGCCGTACAAATCACCCCCACCATCACCGCCAACATCTGCTTGCTACAACTCATCAAATGCGCTCGAACTAACTCTGCTTGGCTCGGCACTTTTGACGCTGCTGCTGCTGCTGCTGATGCTTCACAATAACTTTGCTTTATAAACTTTCTTTTGCACTAACACACATTTGCCGAATAACCGCTTTCTACTATCAACGAAATTACCATCATCACCATCACCACCAACTCCCCAGGCGGACGATGCCAAGGCCAAGTTTGAGGAGAAGGAGCGCAAGAAGCTGGAGATTCGCCAGCGCCTCGAGGCCCAGATGAAGTCCACCAAGAAGAAGGGCTTCATGACGCCGGAGCGCAAGAAGCGACTTCGAGTACGTTCACTGTTTTACCTTTACCAAACTACTTGACCTCCAACTGACCTTCACCCCTCTTTCCTTAGCAACTGCTGCGTCGCAAGGCCGCCGAGGAGGTGAAGCGCCAGCAGGAGCAGAAGGAGAAGGAACGCCAGCGCATCATCAACCAGCGCACGGGCACGCCCAAGTCCACTGCCGATGCCAATGAGGGTAAGGGGAAATATTTGTACAACTTATCAACTCCTTATCAATCCCATTCCCTAAACAGCCACTCTGATTGCCCTGTGCAAGGAGTACCACAACCGCATCTACAAGCTGAACGAGGACAAGTGGGATCTGGAGCTGACTACCTGCCTCAAGGAGTACGAGGTAAGGAGGGAACGCGAAAAAACTTTGCCAACTGTTTTTTGCCAGCCAAATGAACTTAACTCAAAACGGTCTTCTCTTTTTCTTTCCTCTATTTCCTTTCCTCTCCTCCTCTCTAGCTCAATGATCTGAAGGAGCGCGTTAACGACCAACGCGGCAAATTGTAAGTGCAAACATGGCAAGCGGCTGCTGCTTTCTATTTTTAGCCCCTTTGCGCGCACATTCTCTGCTAATGTGTACGACTGTTTTTGCTGCTGCAAAAGTTTGCTAACATTTTCTCATTTTCCCTTCTCCTCTCCAGCATTATTCCGCCCCTGAAGAAGGTGTCCAAGTACCAGACGCAGCTGGAGAAGATGCGCCAGTGGACCTTCAAGCTGGCGAAGATGGACATGCGCGGCGGCCTGAAGCCAGTGAAGAAGGAGATTGAGCTCGATGAGAAGCTGGTGAGTAGTGGAACTTTTGTTGGTGATTTGAAGGACTGAATTTGGAATGAAACAAAAACTTCTTCTACCATTAGCCGAAGAAGGAGAACAAGCCCGAGTGGGCGGCGTCGGCCAAGGCGGCCAAGGTGGAGGCCGTCGAGGAGGAGGATTAAGCTATTGCCACGGGAGTTTTGCCGGACGAGACTTTAGGGTCTTGCTGATGATAAGGGCGATAATGATAATGATGATCATAAGAACGAGAATTGCAAATTGCTCAACAACACCAACAACAAAATCAAAATCAAAACCTGTGCGCAATCAAGACATTATTTGAAAAACAATTGAAAGCCAAATAATAAAAATAAAACAAAACTATTATTTATTTAATAACCAAAAAGTTATTGCCCAAACTTTTTGAAATTACTGCTCAGCTGCTGCTGCTCTTTAGCTTAGCTTTGTAGCCTTTAATGGCGGTGGAGGAATTTTATGGCTTTCTCTTTCTTTCCCTTTTCTTTCTTTCACTTTCTCTCCTTCTCTTGCGAATCATCGAAGCAAGCAGCAGCAGCAACAGGCAGGCAGGCACTTTGCTACGCAAGAGCTGCTGCTGCTGTGGTTGATCGGCGGCTATAGAGTGTTTTCGTAGAAGAAGAAGCGGTCTGTGTTTACATTAACCCAATTCGCCTTCTACTTCTTCCTCCTCTTCCATTGAAATAAGAGGAAATCGAATGATTTGGCAGAATCGTGATGATTGCTCAGCTCAGCTCACTGATCAGAGTGTTCAGTTGTGCTTGGGAGTTGGCTGCGTCAAGTTCGGCTGCTGCTGCTGATTCTGAACAACAGCTTTGATTTTTCTTTTTCCCTTTCGAGCCAAGGACAACAATACGAAATGGTAAGCTTCTACTTTTCTACTAATTTCTTCTTTCTAATCTGCTTTTTACTTTTCCTCAATTTTCAGGCTGACGTTCAGCAAAAGTTTGATGATCGCGAGCGTCGCCGAAAGGAAGTGCACGACCGCCTGGTGCAGGAGACAAAGAAGAAGGGCTTCATGACGCCGGAGCGGAAGAAGGCGCTCAAGGTAACTAGAGTTGGGAAATTGAAAACCTCGAAAAACTTTGAAAAACTAATCCTCAATTCCTTCTTCAGCAACTTCTGCGTCGCAAGGCCGCCGAGGAGGTGAAACGCCTGCAGGAGATGAAGGACAAGGCCCGTCGGGAGGAGATCAGCCGCCGAGTGGGCGCCTCGAAGAACATTGCCAGCCTCGATGAGTGTACGGCGGTTCGATTTTGTTGTTTTCAAGAAGAACTTCGAAGATTGATTATCATCACCCCTTTTTTCACCCTTTTTTTCACCCCCTTCTAGGCGCGCTGATCAACCTGTGCAAGGAGTACCACAACCGGNCTTCAAGAAGAACTTCGAAGATTGATTATCATCACCCCTTTTTTCACCCTTTTTTTCACCCCCTTCTAGGCGCGCTGATCAACCTGTGCAAGGAGTACCACAACCGGGTGTACAAGCTGCAGGAGGACAAGTGGGACCTGGAGCTGGCCACCGGCACCAAGGAGCTGGAGATCAACGAGCTGAAGGAGCACGTCAATGACCAGCGGGGAAAGTTGTGAGTAGTCGTGGTTTTGGGGTGATGATTACCGACTTGACCACTAAATTATCTTCTCTCTTTTCTTGATCATCACCACCAATTTCAGCATCGTCCCGCCGCTGAAGAAGGTCTCGAAGTACCAGACGCAGCTGGAGAAGATGCGCCAGTGGACGTACAAGCTGGCGAAGATGGACATGCGCGGCGCCCTGAAGCCCGTTTCGAAGGAGATTAAGCTCGATGAGAAGCTGGTAAGAGATTGGTGTTCTAAATATAAGCTCTAAAAACTTCTAAAACCTTCCATTTGTTTGCAGCCAAAGAAGGAGAACAAGCCCGAGTGGGCCGCCTCGAACAAGCAGCCGACGACGCCGACCACGCCGAGGACCGTCAGCCTCTCAGACATGAAGGCCGAGGTGG